TGTACACTCACCAGAGGGAAAGTATTAATGCGCATTGGTTATTATCAAACATCTGGGGGTGCAGTGGTAAACTGACAGCTCCGGGTCTAGTCATGCGACTCCATCCATCCATCCATAGGAGCAGATATCTTTTGGTCCTAGGGAGGAATTAGCTCAGCCACAGGAGCCAGAAAGGCGCTATTATGGTGTAGTATTTATTATATCACATGTAAATTAAATTAAAGGGTATCATCCATGTGGAGTATGCAAAATCAAATGTAGTTAAAATGAGTAAGATGGCCGCAGCTCCTCGGTAGCGGCGGTGTGATGTCAGCAATAAGGCTCCACCCCAATCTGCATTATAGTGATAATAAAAAGTCCAAAATTGTAAAATGAAATCAGAAGAATGTGATTCCCAAAGGCTGTGATGAGACAGAAGAATTTCCAATGATAGTTGATGTGTCACCAACCACTCGCATGCAAGGCTTACCAGAACAAAATGACCCCCTGTAAAGAGCGGTCAATTACGCATCTGATAAAACAATCAAAGGGCTAGCAGATGCAATCTTCCTCTGAATCCCACAAGAGAGACAAATGAAGGGTTCTCCTATAGCAAACCTCCATTTGGAGTACCTTTAAGCAGCTCCAAATGTAACTCGTGGTATGAGACATGCAAAGGAAATAAATGCAAATAGATACAAAAATGTACTCACATGGTAGTAGATAAGATCAAGATCAAACAAGAAGATCACTCCTTTCCAGTTTCAAAGATGGCCTCCGGCCGTTCGCGCATGTGTGGTAGCATATATGACATCATCTTGTTTCTTATATATGTGATTTTGTATTTCTGGCTACAGCTGTTGATCACTAGGTCCTGTCCGGAGATTACCTGCTGGCACCCGGTGATTGCTGAGGAACACTAACGGGGGAGAGGTCTGTATGTAAGCACCAGCATGCTGCTTTATAGCAGAGCAATACAAAACAGCATGCCTCCCTAGTAAACCACAGCACAGAGTAAAACACACACAGCACACAGTTAACCCTTTGCTTGCCCCAGATGTTAACCCCTTCCTGCCCAGTGTCATTAGTACAGTGTCATTGCTTTTTATTAGCACTGATCACTGTATTAGTGTCACTGGGGATGTCATTGACACCAAGTTAGTTCCCCCTGTGACGGTGTCATTAGTACAGTGTCATTGCTTTTTATTAGCACTGATCACTGTATTAGTGTCACTGGGGATGTCATTGACACCAAGTTAGTTCCCCCTGTGACGGTGCATGGCGTCAGACTCCAGCTCTTCTCACCAACTTGTGACCGAAGGACCAGTGGATCTCACACCGCGCTGTCACTTGCGTAACAATGCCACTCTCAGCTGCGCCCTGTACAAAGATTTTCCAGCTCGCCAGACCACAATCTATGTGCCAGCAGCCTGAGAGCGATTGTTACTGGGTCAGGTTAATTACGCAATTAACCCTTCACACTGCCACCACCACCTTTGTACAGAGAAGAAGGAAACTCACAAATCCTAGCAGTAACACTATGATATTAGTATAAGCATCTGTAACACACACTGTCACCACAGACAGATGTATTCAGAGGATTATTACTAGAGATGAGCGAATCGAACCAGGCGAACCGGAATTCGATACGAATTTCAGGAAAAATTCAGCGGTTGAAACCGCTGTATGGAGTGAATGTCCCAGAACTGTCAGAAATAGACTATTTCTGACAGTTCTGGGACATTCACTCCATACAGCGGTTGAAACATTGTATCTATTTGTTTCCATAAATGGATCCATTTATGGAAACAAATAGATACAATGTTTCAACCGCTGTATGGAGTGAATGTCCCAGAACTGTCAGAAATAGTCTATTTCTGACAGTTCTATGACATTCCCTCCATACAGCGGTTGAAACCGCTGTATGGAGTGAATGTCCCAGAACTGTCAGAAATAGACAGAAACTGTCACAGAACTGTCCTTCTCTTCTCATCCTTCTCCTTCTTCTCATCCTTCTTCTCATCCTTCTTCTCATCCTTCTCCTTCTTCTCATCCTTCTCCTTCTTCTCATCCTTCTCCTTCTTCTCATCCTTCTCCTTCTTCTCATCCTTCTTTCTTCATCCTTCTTCTCATCCTTCTTCTCATCCTTCTCCTTCTTCTCATCCTTCTCCTTCTCCTTCTTCTCATCCTTCTCCTTCTTCTCATCCTTCTCCTTCTCCTTCTTCTCATCCTTCTCCTTCTCCTTCTTCTCATCCTTCTCCTTCTCCTTCTTCTCATCCTTCTCCTTCTCCTTCTTCTCATCCTTCTCCTTCTGCTTCTCCTTCTCCTTCTCCTTCTTCTCATCCTTCTTCTCATCCTTCTCCTTCTTCTCATCCTTCTCCTTCTTCTCATCCTTCTCCTTCTCTTCATCCTTCTTCCTTCTTCTCCTTCTTCTCATCCTTCTCCGTCTTCTTCTCATCCTTCTCCGTCTTCTCATCCTTCTTCTTCTCATCCTTCTTCTCATCCTTCTCCTTCTCCTTCTTCTCATCCTTCTCCTTCTCCTTCTTCTCATCCTTCTCCTTCTCCTTCTTCTCATCCTTCTCCTTCTCCTTCTCCACATCCTTCTCCTTCTCCTTCTTCTCATCCTTCTCCTTCTCCTTCTTCTCATCCTTCTCCTTCTCCTTCTTCTCATCCTTCTCCTTCTCCTTCTTCTCATCCTTCTCATCCTTCTCCTTCTTCTCCTTCTTCTCATCCTTCTCCTTCTTTCTTCTCATCCTTCTCCTTCTCCTTCTTCTCATCCTTCTCCTTCTCCTTCTCCTTCCTCATCTCCAAGGGCATTTAAATTAAAGGTACAGTGTTCTGCACTAATTTAAAGGCTCTCTGAAGCCTAGAAACCCTTTTTATAAGTCATCTTCGTAGCGAATAAATTCGCATCGAATCGAATTTCTTCCTGAAATTCGCCGAATCAGCCGAATCGAATTTTTGAATACTTCGCTCATCTCTAATTATTACATACAGTAGCACTCTTCAGAGACAGGCATTTTTTAGTTTGCATTAAAAGCTTTAGAGACAGTTCAACACTTTTCAGAAAATAGGATTTATTACTAAAAAGGTCAAAATGATGCAATTAAAATATTTACATAAAAAGATGTAACAAAGTTATAAAAAGAGCAATAAAACAACAGAGAAATAAAAGAAAGAAGTTCAGAAGGCAGAATACTTGCAAAAGTCCTTGGTTTGAGCAGAGTCCAATTGTCCAAACAAATGGTTGTCTTTGCTCCCAAGATGTTTCCTAATCGATGTTAAAAGGAGAGCTACCTTTTCTCCAGGTTGTCGGTTTTTTTTATATTATCTCAAAGGGGTGTCTCCTGAGAACAAATAGCCAATCTCCCCATTTGGAGATGGGTGTTAGGCGGTGACCAAATTTAGGACCAAATCCCTTACAAGTTCATACTATGGTCAATAACCTTCAATAGGTACAGGTAGCATCCTAGCAACTGGCAGGTCAATATTTAGAATTATGTTCTGAACGCACAGATACTAAAATTAGCATATCCTGCCACTCCGGATAAAATAAATTGCTTCTTACCCTCTTGTAGGCGCTACATAGGGATGTAAGGTGTCATGTGACTCATATTAAAATGACCTGTCCGAATATGTACTTCATATCAATGTGCCCAGTTTAAATGTGTATGAAAAATGACTCATGTGGAACGTACGTTTTATGGGACACTCTAGTTCTAATGCTTAACAGGTCATGACCTACTGAGTTATTGTTTTACGACCGGGCAGAGGAAAGTAGTTTTCAAGCAGACCTTCTGGAACCAGGCTAATTAGTGGTTTACAGCCATGGAGCTCATCCAGCTGTGCGATATGCACTGTTGAACTCAATTCAATTACAGACTCACATTCCTTTCAAAAGCGAGGAGGGAAAACAGGAGAAACAAAATGGCTGAGACCTAACAAAATGGCTGTCAGTGTCCAGGTCTCTATGCGCACAATTGTCACACCCCCCAGTGTCACAATGCCCTCCGCAGTCCCGCAATCCCGCTATAAGTTGCTGATCGCTGCCATTACTAGTATTAAAAAAAGAAATCCAGTATATATACTGCCATTTGTAGACGCTATAACTTTCACGTAAACTAATTCATTTACACGTATTGCGATTTTTTTTAAGCAAAGACATGTAGCAGAATACATTTTGGCCTAAATTTATGACAAAATTTGATTTTTTACATTTTTTTTTGGATATGTTTTATAGCAAAAAGTAAAAAATATTGTTTTTTTTTTTCTAAATTGTCAGTCTTTGTTTGTTTGTAGCGCAAAAAATAAAAACCGCACAGGCAATCAAATACCACCAAAAGAAATCTCCATTTGTGGGAATAAAAGGACATACATTTCATTTGGGTGCAGCATTGCATGACCGTGCAATTGTCAGTTAAGTTAACGCAACCCCTTATCACAAAAAATGGCCTGGTCAGGAAAGGGGGTAAGTCCTCTGGAGGGCAAGTGGTTAATTGCATAAGTAATGTTTACAGAACAACTGTGCTTTGTTTATGATCATTTGGCCACTGGGTGACACTATCCTGTTAGTAGTTATGAATGGTATTACGTTTTAAGGCACTGAAAACGACATAAACACACACACATACATAGAGTTCAACTATTCATACATTCTTTACATTTCTAATATATGACTTAGAAAAAAGACATTTGTATGAGGTCAGTGTCCATTAATGCGAATATTTTAAAAGGAGACTATGGTATATTTTCAGTGAATACTTAATTTAAATTATTGTTGTTGAAGTGTATGTAATCTGTAACAATGAACTTCTTTTATTTCTTCTCTTTGGTCTCTTAAATATACCAATTAAGTGTTTTGTTATATTTGTTGGACAAATGCTAAAAAAAATACCTGCTGATCCTGCCAGACGTTTGTGGGCACGTTTTGATAATTTCCTATGCTCTCCTCCTCTGTGTCACTCTTATGTTACTACAGAACACCCCCTATGTTATGGAGAGGAGAAGGGGGAGGTGTTCTGTAGTCTAAACAAGGGGCGGACTGACCATTTGGAAACTCGGGCAGTGCCCGAGGGCCCGGGGTCAGTAGGGGCCCCATAAGATTCCCCTGGTACCTTTTTCATAGGCTTTTTTGAGTTTGGGCAAGGACACAGGGGCCCCATGATCCCCTATTGCCCGGGGGCCCCATGAGTTGTCAGTCCGCCCCTGGTCTAAACATACTTCCCAAGTAGAGTGAGTGAGCACTGTCACCCGAGAGCAGAAACCTTTTGGTCACCATGCAATACATTTATGGGGCTGCAGGAAAAGTAGGCATTAATGCTCAACCACCATACATGGGTTTCCACAGTAGCCTGAGTTTATGTGCTGAGAGTGTGCTGTCACTGACATCTCTCAGTCATGGCTTCTGATCAGCAGTCAGTGAATGGGCACCCAGTCATCTGACTGCTGTGAGAGCCAATCACAGTAGTCATCACAATGGTCAAATGACAGAGAAGCCCTTCCACTTCCCAGGCTTTAATGCATGAAGGGTTAATGGCAAGATCAACAGGTGGAAATAAAGAAAAAAGAAACTGAAAAAATAACGCAGTCACCACACCGAAAGGCTGGTAATCTGCAATTTGTTATATCGTCATTCTTGGGTTTTCAAACCACTTCACTTCCAAATCAATTTTTTTATTTTTCGCACACATGATAAAATCTGTATTTTTCTGGATAGAAAATTACTTAAAACTCCAAAACATTATGTATTTTCTAAAAGCAGAGGTCCTGTAAAATAAAATGATGGTAAATGAAATGTTTTATGTGGTACTGTGCAACTGTTTATCAAATTCATACTTGGAGTTAAAATATACTACAATGAATTTTAGAGCGCACAGACACATTATAATCCTGATTTTATTTTGTACAAAAAGAAAAAAAATGAAGGTGTGTTCAGTTAATAGATACATGTTGAATCTCAAAAGTCAGTGTACCTGAAATGCAGCAAAAAATTATGGTACCCTAAATAATCGAGAAAAGATACCCATTAATCATATAATCAACCCTTTAACATACCAATTATTGCACCTAGATGTTAACCCCTTCCTAGCCAGTGTCATTAGTACAATGACAGAGTATAGTATTAGAACTGATCACTATATTACTGTCACTGGTATTGTCAGTGGCAATTAGTCAGTTCCCACAAAGTGTCAGTATCAGATTGCCTGCTATCACAACCCCACTATAAGTCGCTGATCACCGCCATTCAATCTATCTATCTATCCATTCAGTCGTATCCGACCCTTCATGATTGCATGGACCGTCACTCGCAAGCGACTTCTTCCATGAATTCTCTTAGCAATTATTTTACAGGGTAGGTTGCCAGGTCTTTTCCCAACCCCTACCATGCAGGAGATCCGACATGGCCAGGGATGAAACTCGGACAATTTTAGACAGAAGCCAATTAACCTACCAGCATATCTTTGGAATGTGGGAGGAAACAAGAGTACCCGGAGGAAACCCACGCAAACACAGGGAAAACATGCAAACTCCATGCAGGAGGTGCCATGGTTGGGAATCGAACCCATGACCCAATTACTGCAAGGCAGAAGTGCTAACCACTAAGCCACTGTGCAGCCCATGATCACCGCCATTACTAGTATTTTTAAAAATTCCACTTTATATTTTATAGTGTGTAGACGCTATAACTTTCATGCAAACCAATTAGAATACATTTACTGGGATTTTTTTTAGCAAAGACATGAAGCAGAATACATTTTAGCCTACATTTAGAAAGATATAATTTCTTTATATAATAAAAAATTAAAATACAAAGATCAAATACCACCAAAAGAAAGCTCTGTTTATGTGAAAAAATGATATACATTTCATATGGGTACAGCATTGCATGACTGCTCAATTGTCAGGTAAAGTAGTGCAGTGTTGAATAGTAAAACATGACCTAGCCATGAAGGCTAAGTGGTTAAAAAGTGATCAGGCAACTCTACAGCCATCAAGATCACTCTTACTAAATCATCCTTAGCCTGCTGGTAAAAATAGAAACAAGCTCAAGGCTGCTGCTGCTGCAGCTGTGAGCTTGCTTCCACAGCTCTAATGCCTGCATATTTTTGCTTTTAGTATCTTCAGTCAGATTAAAAATGTACCACTAAAAATACTATAGGTCATTCAGGTTCTGTTTTCTTACATAATGTTACATCTAAATGCACTTTTGTTGGGTTGTCATATATTTTAGTATGTCCTAATTTCTGTAGTCAGTGCAGCTCTTAACCTTATTTTCCTACTTTTATATTTGAGTTTTGCATTAGGGAATGGGTTAATTTGCCTAAATACAATTTGTTGAGGATTTGTCAAAACCTGTTTGAAATGTGCAAAACCCGAACTTAGCAGTGAATTGACATACCAAATCCTGGCCTTTTTCTAGACTATTAGGCAAGCTATTGTAAAAGATAAAGCATAGGAAACTGTGCCTCTTCACAGGATGTCTGTACTAATACCAAAAAACCCCCCACTGAAGTCAAGATCTTATTCATGCAGCTTTAATGGTGACACAGATATTTCAAATAACAGAATTGAGGGATGCCTAAAAGCTGCACATTGTATTTTGGAATCAGCATGGTTTGAAAGAGAGTATTCTTAGTCACAGTGTTCTTTGGTAGCATATATTTGGCAGATGCATTACACATAGATGCAACACCCCAATCTACTTTCATTGGAACAATATATTAAAAAAAGGCTTATTCAGGAATACACTTTCAGCTTTCATTAGAAAAACAGCTGATGATACTGTTGTACCGTTTATGTTTGGGTACATTGTGTTATGTGTTGAAGAGTAGGAATGATAGGAACATAGGTTTGAAAAACATGACCGAAGGGCTAATTTCAAATCCAAAATCCATTGAAGTCGATGCGAGCCGAATCTTAGAAATCAGTAAAGGCCTTTTCCTAATAGGTAAAGGATTCCAAACAATAGGCATGAGGAGCTGGACAGTGGCCTGCAGAACATGGACTAATGAAAAAACTCTTTTTTAAAATTCTTGTTGAGCATGTACAGGGTTTTTTCAGGTGGCTTAAATGTCAACAGTGAAAATGCAAAAAAAATCCTTCAAATATCAGGCTTAGGGGATGCCTCAAAGCTATTTGCGGTTATCAAAATCATCATCATTGTGGCATCACATAAATTTCATTTTCCAAAATTTAGCTTACTTTTGCATTGGCTTACATGCAGCAGCATCAGCGTCAGCGGCAGCAGCAAACCAACATGGTTGAATTTCAAAAGAAAAAGGCTTTATTCGGTATTCTTTTCAACAGAAACAATTGTTTTGTATGTCAGTGAAAGACCATAATTGAGCACTGGAAGTATAAGGAGTAATATAGCTAAAATCTATCACATCTATATACTTTGAAAAAAAAAGCTAACACTACTAACTTCATACAAATTGCCAAACAGGCTCAAAACAAGTAACATAGAATATCATGTGATCTTCTTTTCAGTACCACGCTGTGTTGTTCACAAAGTTTAACAAAATGTCATCCCAAAGTGCAACAAAACACCTCAAAATTACAACCCACACTCCAGAGATGAAGCAGTTTTTTAACAAGAACTAAAACAATTACAAAGCCATGTTTCAAAGACAACAGCCAAACAATATGTACAATGGCTGTAGAATATGTAAGCTGCATGATTGGAGCTAGGGCAGCAATGTAAGAGGGATAGAAAAGTTATTTTATTTTCAAGAAATAACAATATGATATGTGGCACATTGTGCATTTTTACCTGGCCACTATGTTAGAGGAAGAGATGAGGTAAATGTTTAAAAAACAAGCAAACAAACTGTTTAATATGCCAAAGCTAAGAGCCAGAACTATTTCACAGACACAGTGCTCATAATGTAAGTCTTTTAACTAGATCACCATGGAAGATGGATAGATTGTGCAAGTGTTATATTAACTAAATTAAAGAGAAATTTTCCAGTGCCATGATGGTATGTCAGAGGAAGAGGGCATACAAATTTAATCTTGAAAAAAGTATGTATTTGCAGCACATTTTTACAAGAATTTTTTATATTCTGCTATTTTGAAAGGGAGAGTGCAGGAAGATTTACGTCCAAAAAAATTAAAAATGATTTCCTATTTAGTAGGATTGAAGACTGAAAAATCTGTGCAGAATTGCAGCACCACTGATAAGCATTTCGTAAGGCTAGGCTGCAAAGTCTGAGGGAGAGAGAGGAAGCACATTACAACTGGAAATAAAAAAATAATGTATTATTAGGACAATGAAGATGGGAAAATGTTACATGTTTTCATCACAGATATTAATTATGTATGGACAGGCTTTAATTTCGGAGTGATTGATTGGGGCATATTACAAAATAAAATATGTCCTGATTACAAGACTTACAAGGCCACCATTTTACTGTTTTACATCACATATATTAGTAAGCCTGTATGAACAGGCTGCAATTACTGATTGGAAGAGCAGGCATTGTGTATCTGGATTCAGAGAAACATTTTACAGTTTAGTACCACAGACATAAAGTCTTTTTGCACAGTCCTCAATTTCACAGGGTTTGAACTGAGATACTACATTCGGAAGGAAAACAGTTGTTTCAAATTAAAAAGAAAACAAATTGCACAGATTTGCAGCACATTTAATTCCATCATGATTAGGCTGCAATTTCTGCAGAAGAGAGCAAGCACATTGCATCTGGACATAAAATAAATGACGCTTTTAGGAGACTGAAGATGGCAAACATTTACAGATTTGAACCACAGATATTAAAGAGTAAATCCACTTTTGTTGAAAAAAAAACGCTTCCCTCTCTGGCATTTTACATTGCAGGAATTTAACAATCGCTGAAGCAGAGTCCTACCTTTTGTTTCTGCGAAGAAAAAGCTATTTGTTTCATCATGTGCTGTGCAGACTGATTCTGAATGGGATAGTCTGGTTCATTATAGTCACCTGTTGCTCTCTCAGTGTTTTGATGAAGAAACTGAAGGGCTGGCATATCTTTAGAAGTATTTAATTTTTGGAAATTATCTCACAAAAAGCAAAATTTCTGTTGCAGGGAATGCCTAAAATCTGACTTGTATCTTAGTGCAGACTTTTGGGAAAATATGGGAGCCAATCACACAAGCAGGAAATGGAATTTCTGAGGGTGTTCTGTATGCCAACTATATACAGTATACCTCCAGGTTTCCATATTGTATTGAATTTTACAGAGCATTACAGCAGCTGCAGATTAAAAAGAAAAGGTATTTTTTTTAAAACATTAAAAAACCACATGGCTTACAATTGT